CATATTTTTCTTCTTCTTCTTCTTCTTCTTCTTTTTCTGTATTCATTATTTATTTATTACGAATTAATGTAAGGGAAGAAAAATTAAAAAAAAAAAAAAGAAAGGAAATCATTAGATTAATTTTAATATTATTCATCATTATTTTATAGATCCCATAATCGATACGTGGCCATTAATGGGTTCACCAGGACCAATATTTTTCATAATATCGATATATTTAATTTTCGTAATCAAAATTGGCCCGAAAATAATGGAAAATCGTCCTGCATTTGAATTAAAAAACTTGTTGATAATTTACAACGCTATATTAGTCGTATTTAATTTATGGTTAGCTTCTTTGGTAAGAAATTTTCTATGGATTAATATAATAATTGATAAATACAACATAAGAGAACATATATTTATACACGTGTGTGCAATGGTGTTCATTTTTTTTAGGCTACAAAAATTGATCTATCAGCTTTAATTCATTCGAACGGATGCAAATTGCAATATCATCGATTGTCTAAGGACGGATCTTTAGAAACAACGGTTAGTAAATTGTTTTTTATTTTTATTTTATTTTTTTTTAAATCTCAATACGTATACACGTATTTCTTTTAACACGTTTCCACCCCTTCTCCCTCATTTATTAATTTATTATAATTAAAAAATTACTTTTTTCTATGGTTTATTTGTTTCTTGTTTTTTCTTTTCTTTTTTTATTTATAATTACAGTTATCGGAAGCTGCCTGGTGGTATTTCTTCGCTAAGATTATCGAACTTGTAGATACGGTAAGATGCTATTAAAAAAAAAAAGAGAGAGAGAGATATATATATAAATAAATGAAACAAAAGATTATTGAATTATTTAAAATGAAAAAAAAATCATTTAACTCATTAAAATAAAACAGTATTAAAATTATGCCGGAATTCGTTATTGAAAAATAGCTTTTGTAATGTCGTTGAGTAATAATCGCTTAGAATATTTTCAACCGGATGGAGAATTATTAATTCTTTTATATTAACATATTTAACATTTGTGTATGTACAATTTTTGTTCGCCCATTTTCTATACATTTATTTTTAATATTTTTATTCCTACTTTGATCTTGATTTTTCTTTGTGTCATTAACCTTTTCATATGAGAGAACACACTGGTTCAAATACTTTGAATAATATAAATTAAAAATATAAATATTCAAATTCGATGCATCAATTGTTTTATCATATGTTTTTCTTTTAATTAAAGTTTTTATATATATCCCAGGAACCGTAAATTGTTATATTTTATTATAATTAATTTCCATTTCTTCTATTATCTTTGTTTGTTTTTTTTGTTTCCTTGTATCCATTTGTGTTTTCCAGGTATTCTTCATTTTACGAAAAAAACAGAACCAATTGACTTTCCTACATATTTATCATCATAGCGTCACAGCACTTTTCTCGTGGTGTTATCTCAAACTAATTCCAGGTGAACAAGGTATTATCGTAGGCATACTCAATTCTACAGTTCATATCATAATGTATTCGTATTATTTAATATCTGCATTGGGCCCAAAATATAAAAAATATCTATGGTGGAAGAAATATATGACCGTGGTACAATTGGTAAGAGTCATATTATAAATAAAAATTATATAAATAAATAATTAACGTGTTTATATATTTAATAGAATAATATTTATTAATTATCCAATATATATATCAATTTGCAGATTCAATTTATCATTATGATGATTTATCTTCTATTCACATTGGTGATGGACTGTGGTGTCCCAAAAATCTTAACATATTGCTTTATGATTCACGTAGTGATTTTTATTTACCTATTCAGTAATTTTTACAGGAAAGCTTATATAAGACAGAAAAAAATTGTCAAATAATTCGTCAAAAGAAAATGAATAGGCTAATATACTAATATTAATATTGAATAATAAATATTGAAAATTAATTAACGGTAGATTGAATTAATCAAGATTAAAACAATGACAATTCGAATTTCTCGAATAATTTGATTCGACTTAATGCACACAATACAATAAGAAAACTCTACTCCTATATAAAATGATTTATAATTCATGTCAATGATTACGAATTGTCTTTCAATTCGCGTGTACGAAAAAAAATTATCAAATATTATTTATCGATTGTGTCTGACGTGCCGAACAATTTCTTTTTTTTTTTTATTATTATTTTTTGTTTTTATTTATCGATTTATATTTTGGATCATATATATTCTTTGATCGTTAACATTAATACTGTACTTCTACAAACAGACAGCAGTGTATATATTTATGCAATAATGTATATTAAATAGTATTGTTGAAAAGAATTCAAATACTGAATAATTAATGAGAAATAAATAAATACCTCCTATGTGTAACGTTAGCATATTGAGTCTGGCATGTGGATAATGTAATTCACGTTAAATAATTTTATAAATGATAGTCTCTCTTGTAGTCTTGATTTAGTAAAAATATTAACAATTAACAAACAATAATCTTGTCATATACTAAGAAACAAATAGTAAAATAAAGTATCTTGTATTAATTAATGTGAGTTTGAAATATTGTTAATTGTAAATAAAATTTTAAATATGGCGCCACTCTTTCGATAAAACAAAGTATTATTTTTATTGACGCCCGATGAAATAGAATATACGATTATATACGACAATTTTTAACTTTACGTTTTATTAAAAATATTATAATTAATTCAATATGAGAGAGATAATATTTAAATTAATATAATTTAATATTTAAAAGTATGAACTCGTACTTATAATTTTGAAAATTTCAACTACGTGACAACATTAAAGATAGTTATTTTTTATGGATACATTTCATAATATACAAAATTTTAATATAAAATAAATCATAAAACATTAAACATTATATTGAAACACATTCGTTCCCTGATACATTAATTCTTTCTTTTAAATATTTATAGAAATTCTATTCAAATTTGATTACCCCTTTGTTTTTACATTACTTTATTCGCGCCACTTACAGATGGCGCTAACATCAAATGCATCACATAACCACAAAACACATACCTGTATATTCATTTATTAATACCAAAGGAAACTGTTTAATTATTTTGTATATTATAAAAAGTATTTTCTTTATAATACAATACAAGAAGTATATTTTTTAAATCAATAATTAATAAATGAAACTTTGTAGGTAATAGATCTTATAAATAATTATGCATTTTTAATAACGTGTGGTGGTGTTAAAATAAGAGAATGATAAAAGTTATAATATTTGACTAATACATGAAGAAAACAATTAGAAATTGTTATCTTGGGGATTTATTCAACAATTAGGTAAGTAAATTAAAAAACTTTATTATAAAATATATAGAAGAATCTATATGCTGATCATATATATATATACATATTATTTTATATTTTTAGAGAAGCTGAAGCTGAATAAAAATCATTCATGATGGAAGTAATTGAATTAGTTTCAGACGAAGAAGTATCCAATAATAAAATGAAAACTCCCAAGATTTCAAAAACATGTAATACTAATTGTATAAATTTCAAATGTAATTCAGGAATTGATATGAAACCTGCACCATCTTTTGCATGTGCATATTACAGTGTCAATACAGAAAAGAAAAAAAAACCTAAAGTAATATGCAAGCAATGTTTTGATATAGCTTTGGAACATCAAAAAGTATGTAATCATTATTTTGACAAAATTTATAATATTTATTATATCATTTTCTTTTTTTTTTTTTATTCCTATTTAAAACACTAAATAGATTTTCTTGTTATTTTTTGACAGAAATTAGTAGCAGCATTAATGGAACAAAAATCTTTATTGAAATGCGATTTTCCAGATCATACGGTTGAAGTAGAAATTTCTGACAGCGATGAATCAGACGAGGAAAAGAAAAAAGAAATTGACGACAGCGGTTAGATACATTTAATAAACTGTATTTTACTTTGTTTAGTTTTCATTATTTTAATCTTCTATTCGCAGATACTTATTTACCAACGGAAGTACTTTTGGATTTAGAAGAAAAATTGGATATAACATTGCAATCACTTTTTAAACAATACAATGTGGATTATCAAATAAATGAAGCATTAAATATATTGACACAACAGTTGAAGGAAAATGATGGTATTTTTATACACGCGTTATAGATAATATTTTCAGTAAAGATTTAATAGACTTTATTTTAATATATTGAATTTTATCGCGATAGAAAACAATACAATTATTGATGATGAGATCAAAGCCTTAACTAGTCAATTGGACACATTAAGAAATAGTTTATACGAAGACTTCAGGCCACAAATTCAAATGCTTCAGGAACTTCAAATAAATATAGATTGTGAAGAAAATAATTATCCACTTGTAGCGACTAAAAAAGTCACTCAAGTGCGTAATACACCTTGCAAATTGCAGCAAGATACTCAACCAGATATATTGCCTATTGAAAGAGAAAATAAACAAGTAGTTGGTTTGAATTTACCTCCTAGCGGTCCTCTTGTCAAACCGCAACCAGAACCTGACACCATAATCTACGTCATGAAACATCCTCTCATGCGATGGATTAAAGGAAAGGTAAAGACAACAAAATACGAATGCTAAAGCAATATAACATAATACGATTTATTTCTCTTTCCAGGTATTACATATAATTTCAAAAAATCCATTACAATGTAGAGTAAGATTATTCCAAAGAAAGTATAATACAGCTATCAAGTCGGTTTTTGGCAAACAAATTGCTGTAGCAGTACCCAGTAAAGTTCTAATTCCTGTCGGTACAAGAATTGTTGCTATCTTTCACGAAGCAGAAAATTATGAAACAACTAAAGAAAAATATGATTCTAATAATTTTTATAGCGGTGTCATTGCAGAACCTCCTAAATCTACAAATAAGTATAGATATTTGGTGTTCTTCGACGATGGATATGTACAATACGTTACGCACAAAGATATTTTGATAGTAGCTGAAAGTTCTCCTAGAGTTTGGGAAGATGTAGCCAGTGAGTCGCGTGATTTTGTTAAAAAATATATGGAAACGTATCCGGAAAGACCAATGGTAAAACTACAAAATGATCAGATAGTAAAAACCGAATGGAATGGTAAATGGTGGGTAGCAAGGGTTAAACAAGTAGATGCGAGTCTTGTGCAAATGCAATTTGATGCAGATCAAAGAACAGAATGGATTTATAGAGGTTCTGCTAGATTAGGACCATTATATGTTGAACTATTAAAAGCAAATGCAAGGCAGCAAGGTCATCATGCTTCTCTCAATGCATCTAGTCGTCATCGTATTCCCGTTATTTCTAATGTAAGCATTTCACATACTTATCAAAAAATAATTTTCTTTATTAATATATGCTCTTATTATTTCTATTTCTATTTCTCTCTCTCTCTCTCTCTCTCTCTCTTTCTCTCTCTCTCTCTTTTTAGAAAAACAATCTACCTTACGTGGAATATACTTCAAATATAGAAGTAGATGAGGAAAAAAAAAATATCCTAATTGATAAACCATCGAACACTGAATTTAATGAAAATCAAAGTGTCAATACATCTAAGTCAGTCTCGACGATAGCACCATTGCAGTCTCGTGCTGTCGCTAAAAAAAGTACTAGTAAAAAAGCAGTTGTCACAGATATAACTCCTTACAACTCTACTATAGAAATGAAATCTTCTCATAGCATTGTTGTAAGTTATATTAAGTGCAATTAAATATGCAAAATATATTAATGAATATATAATTGGAATAATAGAAAATATTTTGTTGTTTTTTTTCTTTTTATAGTATTATCAAACACAAAATGAGATTCAAACGAGAAAATACATTCCTCATAAATGTGGACCGAAATGCATACGAAGTATATCTTTCACGCCAGAAGATTTGAAAGGTTACTCGCCCCTTTCGATTCCTTTACTATGTGGTTGGAATAGACAATTATGTAAATTTCCAAAAGCCAAAAAAGTTATACTGTATCAAGCACCGTGCGGTATAAGATTACGAAACATGGAAGAACTTCATTGTTATCTTCGTCAAACTAATAGTCCAATGTCTGTAGATTTATTTGATTTTGATTTTTGGGTCCATTGTCTGGCAGAATTTGTTTTAGATAAATGCTTTGTTAATATTAAAGTAAGTTGACGTTGACAATTATTTTATTATTAAATGAATATATCATTATAAGTATCAGTTACCTTTTACAGGATCTTAGTTATGGAATAGAAAATGTGCCAATACCGTGTGTGAATGAATTAGATCATGCTTTACCCGATACTATTAGATATAGTACTCAAAGAGAACCTACAGAAGGAGTCAATTTAAATTTAGATCCAAATTTTCTTTGTAGTTGTGATTGCGAAGACGATTGTCAGGTAATAAATGTATATTTACTTGTATAAAAGCATATCATTATAATGTATCTCATTTAATTTAAAGATATATTTTCTTAATTTAAAATATTTAATTATGCAGGATAAAACAAAATGTCAATGTTGGCAATTAACAATACAGGGAGCAACTTTAGGAGGAAGAGTTCCAAATACAGCTGTTGGTTACGTTTATAAACGTTTACCAGAACCAGTAACAACTGGTATTTATGAATGTAATTCTGGTTGTAAGTGTGCCGTAAAAACTTGCTTGAATAGAGTTGTACAGCATCCACTCAAATTAAAATTACAAGTTTTCAAAACGGCACCTCGAGGTTGGGGTATAAGATGCCTTACTGACATTCCATTAGGTTCTTTTATATGTATTTATGCTGGACGTCTATTAACCGAACAGGTATAAAACTAAATTAAATATAATATGCAAGAATATATTATATATAAATAAATATAATATATATTTTTCAATGGGGTAAATAGGGTGCAAACGAAGGTGGAAAAAACTATGGAGATGAATATCTAGCAGAGTTAGATTATGTCGAAGTTGTGGAAGGGATGAAAGAAGGTTACGAAAGCGATGTTTTTGATCCAGAAATACCTTTAACTCCTGCAAAAGAAAAGAGAAAAGAACGTGGTACGAATGATGAAGATAATAATGTTAAAAATAATACAAATGATTCTGATGAAGATTATAACATTAGTAAATACGTGAATGTTTCTGTAGATTTAAACGAATCTTCTATCAGGTAATTTAAAACATATCACGAGAATATTCCAAGTGTTATTTCAAAAGAAAAATATTTTTGTTTAACTTTATATTTTCTTATAATTGTTATTTATTATTGTAACAATGTAATTTCATGTTTAATTATTTAAATTTAGAAAGCGCCTTAGAAAACGTAAAAGAGGTGAATCTAATTTAGATGGTTCTGAGGAAAACAGCGAAGATGGAAGTATTACAAAAAGTTTAGAAAATTTTATTACTAAATCATCTGTGCTTGAAAATCGTTCATTGGATCAAGATACGGTAACAATAAGCGACGAAGAAGAAACTCGAAGTAGTAGACGCGTACCAAGTAGATTCGATCCTTCGATAGAACCTTTACAATTAGATAGACCAAAGTTTAAATCTGTAAGGGATTTTTATGGAGAAGATGAAGCTGTTTACATCATGGATGCCAAAACAACAGGAAATATAGGCCGTTACTTAAATGTATAAATTATTCAAGCGTACACAAATGTTCTTTCGATATTCCTTTGTTATAAATTAAACGTTACATTATGTGATTTTTATTTTTTTAGCATTCCTGCGATCCAAACGTTTTCGTTCAAAACGTATTTGTAGATACACATGATGTACGTTTTCCATGGGTGGCATTTTTTGCTTTGAATTATATTCGAGCAGGCCAGGAATTAACATGGAATTATAGTTATGACGTAGGTAGCATACCGGGTAAAGTCATTATTTGTAAATGCGGTGCATCAAATTGCAGAGGTCGATTACTTTAAGGTATTTAAAATCATTATCATATATTATCGATCTTATTTTAAATAACAATTAAATCGTTTTAATTTTTTGTTCTATTTATAGCATATATAATATAGTATAGTATAGCATACAATTGCAGATAATATTAAGAAAAAGGAATATACGTTTTATTACAAGTACAAATGAAATAATGATAAGAATTTAAAGAGGAATATTCATTTTTTCAAATAATAATACCAGTGATATTATAAATGTGTTTCCACGTTATTTGTACAGTGTGAAAGAAATAATGTAATGGAAATTAAGAGAAAACAATTGATAAATATAAATAATATAGATCTTATTATATATATCACAAGGAAGGATGGAGAATTCTTTAGACACAAATTCTAAAAGGAAAAGATAAACACGATTGTATTATCAATGTATACATGTATTCATTTTGCAAACATCCAAATGTGACATAACATTAAAACAGAACAAAAATATACAAAACACATTGTTATTATATATTGCATAAATTCATTGATTATATATTACAGTCTTTTCCTCTTTAGCCTGTTTCACTAAGCAGATATCTGCGTATGTGTTATAATATTTTGCTAACTTTGCTATTTTAGACAACCTGTTAAATTTTGTACCACCTACAGTAGAAGGGATGCATATGGATGAATGCCATACCAGTTAAGTTAGCATTAAATCTCATAGAATAGGCCAGTTGAATGCGCAGCACTCTAATAAACTTTTAGCCATGTATATGAAGTTGACAAAGTCAACGAAATTTATAACAATGCTCTAATGACTTATGACTTTTGATTATTGTACATTTTTTTATATCTTCCAAGAGACAATATATATGTATATATATATATATGTGTATATATATATATATATATATATATATATGAGATATGATCTTCACAAATACATTTGTAATATTTTAATATATAATTAATGTTTAACATAAAAAGACTTTTAAAACCGAATTGAAATGAAATTAATCACGAAATAATTCGAATAGAAATTCACACATTGTTAGATGATATTTCATTTTTTACTAATACTTAATATTTAATGTTGTAACTAAAATCTTTCCTTTTCTCTTTTACTAAAGAAATTATAAATATAATATTAAAACAGCCCATTTTTAAAGAAATTATGTGATAGGAATGATCGATATTAACGAACAAATAATAAATAGATTAAAATGAATTCATTTTATAGAATGTATCAAAATATTCTCTACAATATACTTGGTTAAATATGGAAAAAATAATAAACTTAATTAAAATGCACAATAAGACATAAAAAGATGTTACTACACAATATAAATTTAGAACATTTACTTATTAATATATAATTGAAAATTTAATATATAATAATCAAAAAAGAAAAAAAGGAATAATTTCCTGATTAAGTATTTATCTTCCGTGTGTGCGATATATCGTTATAAAACTGTGACCCCCACATATTTCTGATAGCTTTCATTTAAAATAGATAAATATGATAGTTAAAAAGTATGCACGAAATTAAAAACAAAGCAATCGCGCGGATATTATATTTAAGAACATTAACATACTAGAATAAAAAAAGTTATCGCCTTGTATATACGTTTAGATTTCTGCTAGTGCATTCTTAGAAGTTGTTTTATTTCTTCTTTTTCGGCAGCATTCAAATAACTTGTCCCGTCAGGAGTTAATCCATCCGGTTTAGCACCTTTTTCTAATAATAGTTTAACGCAATGGGTATGCCCTTCCCAAATTGCAGCAAGTAATGTTGTTATCCCATGTTTATCTGTAGCCTGAAAAAAATGATCATTAAACAAGACATTTATTTAATCGTTCGTAAACATTTCATTGATGTTTCTATAGTATATTACTAAGTTATAATAATTAAAATAATTAATGATATAACTTACATTAGCATCCGCACCCTTTTCCAAAAGATATCTTACTACATCATATTGTCCATAATCTGCAGCATAATGCAATGGTGTTCTTCCATCGATCATTTGATTTACGTCGATATTCTGTTGAATAAATATATATATATATATATATATATATAAAGATAGAGAAAGAAACATATTAAATAAAATGAAAAATACAATTTGAAATAATGATATTAATGATTAAATATTTTATAATAAAATTATATGATATTATTTTGCAACATATAAAGATAATATGTAAGAGATATATATGTATATATGTTAAAAAGAATTGATATAACATTATTACCGAAATATCACGTTATATCATAAAAGATAATTACAAATAAAAACTGCTGCAGATGTTATTTAAGCGATTACTTTTATTAGTACTGCAAATTATACTGTTGATATGTATTCGCGAACTTGGTTTACTCAAATAAAACAATCAAGACAAGATAAAAATAATTATTCGTAATATTATTTAACGTCTGATAACATTATAATTTCTACAAATGATTCTACAAATCTATAAAAGAAATATTGTATTATATTTGCCTTATTCTCAACGATATCCCGAACTTGCTCGAGATCACCATTTTTTATTCCCCAAACGAGTTCGCTCATTTTTTTTTTATTGCTTTCGTTACAATTTGTTCAAACAAACTCTTGTTAAACAATGAAGACGTATCTAATCTAATCGTTGTAACCGCTAATATCGCAATTACGTGACAGATCTCACATCCATCAGATTTTAGTTAAAAAACCACACGAATTAGTAGACCAAACGCAATGTCAGGATGTTAAAAAAAATTCTATGGGCTAAGCGTATAAAAAGTGATGGTGGCGTTAGCGGTCTAGTGACGTTCTGCCGATACGTCAAATATATTTTTGGTGGGATTTTTAAATAATATATTTAAACGATACTATTAACGCCATAATATTACCAACAAATATTCGAAAAACACAGAACAGTAGAACTAAATTAATAAATACTCTTATTTGTACATTAATTGTATATTTAAAATCTATAATTGCACACTTTATTAATTAATTATTTACTTAGTTATATTAATAATTGAAAATATAAAAACATTTTTTTATCATTTCTAAGCAAAGCAATGAAGTTTTCTATTGTTTTTTGTTTTCAATCAATTGCACACTTTTTGTTTGTCCGTTTTTCTACGATCTTTCTAGCTCCAATATGATATCGATTTTTTTTTAATCTATTAAGACTTTTTCCTGTACCTGTTCCAAGATAATCGTTCTTAACGAGTAAACTCCTTTAATTAATAATTAAAACAAAATATCTATATTAGATTTTTAATTGTAGTTTGCATTTAAATGTATATAAAATTTAATTACACGTTCACTTTGTGTATACTGCTAGTTATTAAAAGTTACTAGGAAATAAGAAAGTTTCAAATATATTGAATTTCTAGTAACATGGCTACGACGAAAATGGTAATAGTAGTRCWCTACCTTTATCTTAYAAAAAAATTTTCAMCKCAGAAARAAAAGAATAATTGCTCATAATTGCTCACTAATTGCACATTTAAAACCTATAATTGCTCACTTTATTTTCGCTATTTTTTTTTTATTGTCGGTAAGTCGTATTACCGACCGAGATCTGATGGTAACTTACCATCCGAATTACCGACAGTAAAAAATTTTTACTGAAAAAGAAAAGAATAATTGCTCATAATTGCTCACTAATTGCACATTTAAAACCTATAATTGCTCACTTTATTTTCGCTATTTTTTTATTGTCGGTAAGTCGTATTACCGACCGAGATCTGATGGTAACTTACCATCCGAATTACCGACAGTAAAAAAATCAAAAAAATAAAGCAAAAAATTATGGGTTTTAAATAAACAATCAGTGAGCAATTGAGAGCAATTATTTTTTTTTTCTGCGGTGAAAATTTTTTTGTAAGATAAAGGTAGAGCACTACTATTACCATTTTCGTCGTAGCCATGTTACTAGAAATTCAATATATTTGAAACTTTCTTATTTCCTAGTAACTTTTAATAACTAGCAGTATACACAAAGTGAACGTGTAATTAAATTTTATATACATTAAAAAGCAAACTACAATTAAAAATCTGATATAGATATTTTGTTTTAGTTATTAATTAAAGGAGTTTACTCGTAAAGAACAATTGTCTTGGAACAAGTACAGGAAAAAGACTTATTCATTTTTTTCTGCTGTTCAGGTTCTATGGTAATTTTTCTGCGCGGTGGCTTTAGCGAATATTTGTTTCAGGTTTATGCGCCACTACAGTGGCTTACTCGGGTAACTTACTTACCCTCTTAATTTGTTATCATAAAATCATTTGGTACCATGGGAAATAGCTTAAAAAATCATCAACCAGAGTGTGCTCAAATAGATGGGGGAACATGGGCGCACCTATTAGATGGACGAGGCGTTATTCCATAGCCCTCCTACTACTTATTTTCCAAGATTTTCTACGAGTTTGGCTCCCCTGGTCGTAGTTCACAACAGTAGTGGTGCCGGTTGTATTATAGGTTAAAATTTAGTGTGATTTTAGTCAGACTTTAAGTTTAACTTAGAATTGTTAAAATGGACAATCGGATTACGATATGTGACCCAGACGAGGAAGAAATAGACAATGAAATATTTCGAGACATCGAACCAGTCAAGTGGATTAACGATGATCCTAATTATGACTTGGATGAAATCAACATGTTTTTCCATAGGGTGGATTCAGATCAGATCATATATGAGGAAAAAAAGAAAAAATGTAAATTTATCGGTAAATATGTTATGGGGGATGTACTTGGTGAAGGTAGTTATGGTAAGGTGAAAGAAGTACTGGATTCAGAAACTCTGTGTCGAAGAGCTGTTAAGATTCTAAAAAAGAAAAAACACCTTAAACTCCCAAATGGAGAAATTCAACGGTATGCTATTTTAGCATGTAATATAATATGTATATGAATATATGTGTATAAACTTTGGGTGCTGACAACATACATACGTATCTATACATATCCGTTTGTTTATCTTGTCATATTTCACAATTTAAGTTGTCACGCGTTAGTTCTATCAAAAATAATTTTCATATTTTCAATAATTCCTATTTGCACGTATTTTATGTTTTGTTTATTATTATTTATACTCATTTTTTTGTAACACGTACAATTATATTACTATTTCATTATAAAAAAATCGTGGAATTTCTCATCTTTTGTACATTCCTGAACATCATTTCCTGAACATTATTACAAATATGATTATATCAATTATATATATATATATATATATATATTCATAACTATATAGACAAATGCCACTAACCACTAACTAACTATTTATATATTATTAGTCATAAATTAATATTATTTTAAATTAAATACAACAACAAATGCATGTTACATGACTAAATCATACAATTGCATTACAAAGTTCATCGTGTATTCTAAAGAAAGATTATATTTTCTAAGAAAAATAACTGAATAAATAGATTTATTTATAGTTCTCAAGCAAACACTGATCCTATACACATATAACTTAATTTATTTGTATATACATTTTGATTATTTCTGATGTTCATTAACAGGGAAATAAAACTATTAAGAATATTAAAACATAAGAACGTCATTAACCTTGTAGATGTTCTTTATAACGATGAAAAGAGAAAGATGTACCTAATTATGGAATTTTGTGTATGTGGATTGCAGGTAAAGTTTAACGAATTTCAAACGAATTTATTGTGCATTTGTTATGCATTATTATTTTTTTATTAATTTATCGAATAAATTAATCTAACATTTATGAAGAAAAATAATAATAATAATAATATATGTATAGATTTGTTGTACGTTTATAAATTTTCAAAATTAAGATACCATTCAAAGGAATACATTAGTTTTAAGATGTACATTTGAAAACAGTTTTAATAAAAAAAGAATAAGTGAACTTAAGGTGCCTAATATTAATGATAAACATAAGGAAATAATTATTTAATATTCAGGAAACATTTAATAGTAATATTTCTTTTCTAAAAATCGTTTATATTGGCTTGCTTTTATAAAAAGTA